GGCGAATTGCGCGCAGCGAAGAGCAGTGGAAGAAGATCAAGGCATCCATCACAGGTTCAGCTTCTGCTGTTGCCCCGAGTCTGCTGGCCGTTGCTATTGCGGCCGTTGGCTTGTTGGCCCTTTAAAGAAGTGACCTCTCCGTGGCACCCGTCTGTTGCTGATACTATTCAAGCAGAGCCGCGCTCCGCAGCGTTTTATTCACTTTTTCCTTCCTTCAGAACAGACACTCTGACTGGCGTGTACAGCTTAAGCAGGTGTTTGCTCTTCGCTGCATCCGCAGGACTGTGGCTAACGAAATGTTTCAAAACAAGCCATTTATACCGTTGCTTGCGCCTTTCGGATTTGCGCTGCTTGCGCCACCAGTTAACCGCATTCTCAGGCTTTTTTATTTCTATGGGCAGCAAATGCTTGCTTGCCTCGGCTGCTTCTGTTGCACTGACATGAGTCCTACGTACTTCCTCCTTTTTACTGGTTGAATTGACCGGCAGTGTTACTCTCCGTTTATCGATCCAGCACCTTGTTCTTCGCTGCAAGCTTGCGCAGGTGTTTCCGCACATTTGTGCATGCATACGCCCTGCCCTGCATGTGTTCGTGTTGCGGACGAGAGCAGTAAGCCTAGCGAGCAGCCGCAGTTCGCACTTTTTAGGCTGCGGAAGTACATAGCGGAAGCTGAGGAGTTCGATATTAAGAGTTTCCACCAGTAGCATTTTCCCTTTCTATACTCGGGCGCACAAGCCTTGACATCCTCGACGAAGGGCGCCTCGCCCCGATGAAGGGGCAGCATACAAGTGCATGGGCCACACCCAGAAGAGCGGACAACCACAGTTTCGGGACAATTTGCACTACTAAAGTTCATAAATGGCTCACGGGCCTTATAAGGAGCTGATGCATTGGCAGAACAGCACTAATCGAGCACGAGGGACCTCGGCCCTCCGCATCGCCGATTCAGCCGGGATGGCAGGGATTTTCCGCTGGAGTTTCACGTCACGTTCGGCGGCGGCAGGGGGCATTGTGTAGACGATAATAGTTGAAATACCTCATTAAAGAATTTTAGCAATGGCAGGGTTGCAAACCGAACTCCAGCACATCAGCAGAAT